ACTCTGGCAGGCAGCACCTTTACTGATGCTAAAACGATCCTGTTTGGCAAGGGGGAATCTCTTCAAGGTGCCTCCTGGACTTCTTGGACAGGGCCTGCAGTAATCTTTCATAGCTTTCCTGCCTTCTGGTAGGCGTGTTCTAGGATCTCCTTATACAGGAGAAAACCCAGACCTAGAATTAACTGATTCCATTGAAGAAATTGGCATTTCCGGGGCACTCTGTTTGACTCCGAGTTCTGCACACCAGGCAGGAGTGACTCAACCTCTCTGCAGCTGCACACGACTGGAGTTGAAGCAGGGAGCTCTCAAAATTAAGGTACCCAAGCAACAAAATTATCCTTATATGCCAACAGCAACACTGTAACTTGGTACATCTATTTGGGAGTCAATTTTGTAATTTATATCAATGACCCTTATAAAATCTATAATCTAGCGAGATTCTAGTTTCAGGAACTTGACTTTATTAGATTCGGGATTTGCCTTGTAGGATTATTTAAAATAAGGAGAAATTTGGGAACCATCTAGGGGTCTAAAGAATTGGGAATTGGTTAAGTAAAAAATAAATAGTACATCGAGAGAATAAAATACTTATAGTCATTTTAATGATACAGTATCAATGTATTGTTAAATAAGAAAGGTGGAATACAAAAGTGTGTGCACGATGCCTTTAGCCATAGTTATAGAAAAGTCAGGAAGGCTGGATATACTCCAAAATATGAACGGTTGCCTGTTTCCACTCGTGGCTCAGCATCCGGCCTTCCCAGGTCATCACGCCAGATAGAGCCCGTCCACCGCTTCCCAGTTTCCAAAATCTTGCTTGTTTCGGTCTTTTCAGTTGGCCTTGTCCTCCCTGGCATCTGCTCTTTTCTTTCCACAACCCTCTGTCATGTTAGTGGGCTTTTAGGGAATAACAGAGGCTAATAAATATTTTGTTCAACTCTCCATTTTTTACTTAGCACCCTGTTGCTTTTAATAAGACAGAACAGAAAGTCAGAAGAGTTGCTCAATAATAACATACATGAACTTCTACTGAAAACAGGGCACATATGCATGTATGTAAGGCATGCAACCAATACGGCAAGACAACATAGACCTCAGGGGTCGGTTTGCATTCGAGTAACACAAAAGGTTAGATACAGAAAATGAGAAAAATGAATTGGTAATAAATGAACAGATGACTCCGGCAGAAGTTGTTTCTAATCAAGAACATCAAGTCAGAACTACTAAAACGGATGCTGGGCTCTTGCTTTCAGAAAGCTACTAATTCTTACAACGTTAGTGACTTCTGGAGAGACAAACTGGCCGACTCGCTGCTTCAAAACAACACGCGATTTGCGCTAGTTTGGGGAGACCTTAACCCTTTCGATATGGATGCTGAATGTCTCTGTCTGTGTCCCAGGAGGTGGGCCGTCATGTGTGCAGTTGCTACACTGAGCCTTGGACTGGTTTCCTGGGGCAGCCATTAACAAACCCCACAGCCTGGTGGCTTACAGGAAGACAGGTGTATTGTCTCCCAGTTCTGAAGGTTAGTAGTCCACATCAGGGCCAAGTTCTCGCCAAAGGCTCTGGGGAAAGCTTTTCGAATAAGCTTTCCGGGAGCCCCAGGGATCCCTTGGCTGGAAGTTGTGCGTACCCCACGATCACACAGCCACTTTCCTGGTCTTTGACTTTCTTGAATAAGGCTGTTGTCACTCAAATTGAGGGCTCAAGTTAACTAGTGACATCTTCAAAGGTCCAATTTCCGAGCAGGGGCATGTTCACAGACACCTGGGGTTAGGACTATTTGAAGAACATCATTCAACCCATTAGCCCTCTTACACCCTCAATAATAAGCACTTAGAGAGGTATGAAAAGGCCTTCTCGCCATCAAGCTCAGAAGCAACAAAGCCCACATGGAAGAAACACACCAGCCTATGCAACCACAAGGTGTCGAAGGGATCAGGTATAAGGCATCATCAGAACAAAAAATCTTACCATAGTGAAGAAGGGGGCAAGGCCGAGTGGAGATCCAAAGCCCATTAGTAGGCCACTGGAGATCCCCTTGCAGAGGGGTCTCAGGGAGGAGATGCCAGTCAGGGTGCGATGTAACAATGATGAGAAATACAACCTTCCTCTAGTTCCTAAAGGTTTCCTCCCCGCTCCCACTACCATGACTCGAATTCTATCTTGCAAGACTGGCTAGACCAGAGGAGGTACACTGGTATAGATAGGAACTGAAAACACAGGGAATCCAGGGCGGATGAGCCCTATAGGACCAGTGGCGTGAGTGGCAAAACAGGGAGGGTAAAGGGAGAATGGGTAGGAAAGAGGGAACCGATTACATGGAACTGTGTGTGACCTCCTCCCTGGGGGACAGACAACCGAAAAGTGGATGAAGGGAGACGTCGGACAGGGCAAGATATGACAAAATACCCATTTAAAAACTATCAAGGGCTCATGCGGGAGGTGGGAGCGGGGAGGGAGGGGAAAAATGAGGACCTGATGTCGGGGGTTTAAATGGAGAGAAAATGTTTTGAGAAACGATGTACAAATGCGCTTTACACAATTGATGTGTGTATGGATTGGGATAACAGTTGTATGAGCCCCTAATAAAATGTTAAAAAAAAAAAAAAGAAAAGGCCTTCTCAAATACAAGCACCACAATTTTATGGACAGACACCTATCTCAACTTGGGAGAAATAAGTTAGGTCTTAAAATGTCGGAACTAAAGAGCCACAGACAAGAATTTAGGAGCAGTTTGCTCGATTCTTCTAAATCTTCGATTGTCACGTCTCTGAACATGAACCCTTAAGGCCCTCACAAACCAGAGTGATCAGACGAGCTGCCCTGGGCTTACATAAGGCCTCGCCAGAGCAGCAGGTACTGTGGGAACAGACACTCCCCCAGACACGGCAATCACCTTACTGGATTTTGAGCCTGATTTTGTGAGTTGCCTGAATTTTGTAAAATAACAGAGAGATGTTTTAACCAACAAAAATGTAAGCATGCAATTGTAAATAAAAGTAACAGATTGCAACTATCTGACTTAATCATCAATATTGATGGTTTATGAACAAGTAGGATATACAGCTTGATGGTCCTAAATTAACCAAGTAACTAAAAATTATCTCATAGTTATTCATTTAACAAATCCTCTTTATTTACACCTGACCAAAGTTAAGAACAATAATTTGGGTTAGATTACTCTGCGCGGGGCACCATCCAGTTTCCATGTTCTGTTCTCTTTGCCCAATTCTTTCTCCAGGTAACACTGAAATGTCAGTTATCTCCGGATTTATCTCCAGATAAATCTGACACAGCATGAAAATGTGGGCTTGAAAGGTTAAAATTTATCACAAAACTAGACTTTTAAAGTAAATGAGGTACTTAACATTCAGAAGCGTGTAAAATATCTATATAAATAAGACTTACAAGTTGCCAAAATGACTCAGTTCTTCCACTAAGACAAAATCTTCGAATACTGATTAGAAACCACGTAGAGTGGTGGAGATTACTTGAGTGTTCTTTGTTTTTACAGCGATCGATAAAGGTACATTTTTCTGCAGGGACTCCAAACTCGATGTACAGCCAGCTACCTGTCTGTGGGAGTCCACAGTCCTCTTTCTGACTCACAGCCCTCAATCGCTCAGGAAGGGAGAGTTGCTGAGGGGGCGGCTTCTGGGGGCGGCTTTCACGGTTCAAAAAGTATGGAACCTTCACATTGATTTCATCAAGTCTATTTATTAATGCATTTCAAGTTTCAAAAATCCTTACATCTTTGCACAATACTTTTATTTTTGCAATTTTTAGTAAAAATTTCCAAAGTGAACAAAAAGATACTGTATAAAACACAGTGGACATTAAACTGACAGTAGTAATAGATCCCATTCATGTTGACCATTTTCTTTGACCACATCTTGATCTGCAGTGGAAAGAGTTCAGTGCACATTATCTCTTTTCAGAAAACATTTAACGCAGACTCAAATAAAATAGGGCAGTGTGTACCTGCCAAAATCCTACCACAGGATAACATTACAAGCAAAAAATTTACATGTTCCAAAGTCTACCACACTCGAGAAGTTACTAAGAACCCTTGCAGAATAAAAGTCACCATTTTAGAAATGCAAACCCATTTCCAACCTTTGCACAGTCCAAAAAAAAAGGCATTTAAATGATTTAAAAGCAATTACATACATATATACCTACTTGTTTGTTTAGAATTATTTATAGTCTATCTGGGGTTTCATGTACAAAATTTGTCTCTAAATCATGTACAAAAAGCTGTATTTTGAAAAAGTCACCATGTACTGTACAAGTTTACAAGGAAGAGAGCCCGTTATTTTCTCTAGCATTTTTGGCCTTGCTGGCTTGCGTCACATTATGAGAATGATTGTGTAAACCTTATACTCTTAAGAAAAAAAGGAGGGGTGAAAAAAAGCCCAAACACAGAAATTTTTTCAACCTTCCCTAAATTTGTCTCCTATGTAAAGCCAGGAAAATCACAGCTGTTTACTCTAATGTAAGGGATGCAGTTGGAAAACAGAAGCAATATATACGTCACAAGCTTAATTTTTTTGTAATGCCCCCTTCCACTTCCTGCATAGCAATAAGCCTGTTAATACATTAAATGCTTTTGCTTTCTTTCTTTAAAATGCCAATTATTTACATCAGCTTAAAAAATAAATTTGGGATAGGGCATTGTGCTGTTTCACCTTTAGTACTGTTAAAATAGTTTAAGGTGGGGAGGGGGAACGTAAGAAGGCCTATCTACAATTTCACCTAGTTGAGTGAACTGTTCCTTAGTGGTTACCCATGACCAGTGATAGTATGCTGGGGGGGGAAACTGTTCAAATCTTCTCTCGACACAATAAAGACACAGCTTTTCTTTTCCCTATCAGGCAGGAGGGGAAAAAACACAATCAGCATACTTTAGGTATATGGAAAACACAAGTAAGTAGGCTACAAATAAAAAGAATCATTGACATGATCTCTAGCGAAGCATGAAAATAATTCCCCCCCAATTCAAATAACGGACTTGAATCAGAAAGTTTAAAATAAGCACGCAGAAATCAGACACTGACACAAAGAGCTAATTCTGAAGTAGTATGCTGCATATGTCCAGTTATCACACTTCCTGACTGTGTTCTTCTGCGTAGTAACTCCTGTGCTCTTCTTAGCAGCCACTTGATAAAAATAAAATGAAGATCAGAACCAACTCCATCGTAAGAAAGAGGGAGATTGATCCTCACTTCAAACTGCCTGTGTAAAGCATGTCAGAATCCTGGACCACTGAATACCACCATTCTCTGTTATCCTGAGTATGTCAATTAAACAGTAATTTTTCATTAAGAGCGGAAAAATTTTATAATACAAAGAAACATCCATATTGCAATTTCTGTTTACAATTGCACACAGAAGTACAGTGTACGTATGAAATACATGTCTGCATATAACAAGGTATGTACACTGGCAAGTGATGTCTCCAATGTTGAGGTGGCTGAGCCGCCTAGCCTTGAATGGCAGTTGAAAAAAATATAGAGAGAGAGATATTTCAATTTGTGATAAAAGTTATCGAGAGCCAAGTTTGCCTGCAAGTGAAGAAAATGCAGCAATGAAGAACAGGGAACCTAGGCACGTACTAATACCCTAAGCCTGTGCCACTGGGTTAAAAACAGCTGTCCATAGAAAACCAGGTTCCTTTTCTAACCCCCCACCCCCCAAATTGGAATTTCCAAGCATTCAATTTTAAGTAATTCCACCTGGGCTGAGGACATGCTTTCTTGCCATTTGTTTCTTCGACTGCTATGTGTGAGGGTTAGCTGGGGGGATGACTTGATAGGTTCTCTTTGGAGTGAGTTTCCACTATAGGCACTAGGAAGGACCACAGCAAAAGCGGCAGTCAACGTCTCATGTGTCCCATCTGATAGCTCTCCCGGGGCCTTTGGCGTTGGGGTTGCTGAATGGGCTGCGGAGGTCTCCTCCTCTTTAAAGTGCCTGTGGGTCACAAACAAAATACAAAACAAGACTCACCGTGAGCTTTCTACCAAAGAAACAAAAGCAGTAAAACCAGCTGCTGTCTCAGTAAGGAAGGGTGTACATCAATGCTGTCAATGAGAACTCTAGGACAGGACACGCACACATTGCCAAAGTTAGTGTAGCCGCAGCAAAACATAGGTACTACAGCCATAGTAACATTTGAAGTGAGATAACTTTTAGATTTTACCCTAAAACAGCCTGAATTAGCATTTTATCACCTTGTCAATATAAAGAATTCCTAATGAAACGTCTGATATAGCGAGTCTCCACAAAGTCGAAGACATATTGTATATTTACAGCTCTTCTCAGCTGAGACTAGCTGCATTTCTAATGCTCAGGAGCTACAAATATGAGACAGAGTAAGCTAAATTCAGATGGATGTTGTGTCTTTGAGGCAAAGATTTATCCTCGGGCTGGGTCCCAGTTGCCTAATCTATACACAGGGATGGTAACTAATTCATATAGCTTGTTTTGAGGGTTGTAGGGAAGGTCATGTGGAAGTATGTAGCCCTTTTTGTGAGATTGTGATGACAGGGGTTGGGGTGTTTTGTTCTGTTTTCTAGTTTTTAATAGTGGCATTTCCTTAAAATAAAATAATAGACAAGTAAAATCCCTGCTTCACTGAATGAGATTCATTGTTTTATAAAATGTCATGTGGCCCTTGGAAATGCCTAAGAAACGGGCATAAATTCCAGATTGCTAACCATGTGAATCCAGGAAAAGCAATGATGTCAAAATCAAATTTCCTCTGATTTCCACCAGGTTCGTGCTCTAGCAGGACTACTGGATTCCTTGCCTGAAGACAGGGAGAGTAAGTGGGGTAACTAAAGGAAAATACTATAAACTGTAAGTGTAAACGTTAACAAACTCCTCGTGTTCAAATACTTTGAGATTTTACTGTGGCTGTCTGTGGGAGGCAGTCAGGGAAGTGCTGCCTCTCAGGGCCTGCCCCATGCACCCACAGTGGGCAGAGCTCTGGGCCAGGCAACATGGAAGCCATGAACACCTTGTGAACAGAGTGAGTAACCAAGTAGAAATAAATGATCTGAAGCGCTTGCTTCCTACACTTTTCTCCTCCAAAGCCCTGGAGCTAATCTAAAGAGGGTCCTCCCTCCTAATGCCGAGTCATCCCTGTTTCCCGCGTGGACCGTGATCATCTCTAGTGTGAAGCCTCTACCCTAGGACTCTCACACTGGAGCCCGTATTTTTCCTATAAATGCCCTCCTTGAGGAAAGCCAGTTCATTCCCCCCACACAAAAAAATAATTTCAAAAATATCACACAGGCACACACGTGACACTCAGGTTAGATTAGCATTTCAATGGCAGCTGGCTATTAGCTAGATTGGAATGATAAGTAGCATATTTAAACATCAACTAAATCATTCATCCAGCCATCTCCTTCCCAAGGAGGAAGTACTATAAAATGAATTACCAAAGACTCATTTATAATTCAGTTCCGCCTGTTAGATGGTTCTGAGTTGTATAAATATTTACCTGTTCAAACAGTCTTACCTGGAAGTGGTTTAGGAGGAGGCAACTTTGGATTACTACTCGGAGTATGGACACTGCATATCTTAATGAATCCAGCCATTAGCATGATCAAGGCAATCCCCATAAGTAACACTGCCCACCAATGAGCCTAGAAAGAAAAAGATTTCCATCAAAACCACTTATAAGATATTCTATATCACAAAATATAGAACATTATCCAAATGTATTTTATACAATATAAAATACAGACTAGAATAAGTTACACTTTATTTTTGATAAATATTTATTGGTTGGAAAAAAAACATTTACTGGCTGCGACCTGGGCATACAGATCATATATGTGTACCCATCTATTACTCCTTAATGCACATTGAAAAGTTTAAAGAAAAAAATAGGAAGCATTCATAATCCATCCTCTAGAATCTAAATGAAACCACTCAATTTTATTCACTTTCAGTCTCTTTTCTACATTTCACTGCTTATCACACACACGTAAGAAACACAGTTCAAAACTGGGCTCATCCTGCACATAGTTTTATATATATACGCGCAATGTTTCATTGCACTTCCCCATATTATTAGATGCTTTCTGGTTTGAGTATTACCTTTTGGGGGGGGGGCCCTTACTCTCCAGACTATGCTGTTTCTGCTCTCCACCTGGCTACACACTGGGATGACCTGGAGTTTTAAAAACTCAGTCAAAATCCAAACTAGTTAAATGGGGATGGAGGTAAAATCCAGGTGTCCGTAAATTTTGTTAAGACTTCTGAGATGACTCTATTATATAGTACAAGATGAAGAACTATTAGTCTCTATCAAGGGTCAGCAAACTTGTTCTGTAGAGGCCAGGTAGTAAATTATTTTAGGTTTGGCAGGCAGTACCGTCCCTGTCATGACTACTCACTTCTGCCAATGAAGTGCGCACTCAGCTACAAATGCAAAACTAAGGAGCATGGCTGTATTCCAATACAATTTTACTTACAAAATCAATCATCGGCCCACAAGCCCCTTGTGGTTTGATCACCCGTGTTCAATCTTACTAGGCTACCTCTAAACAACTGTCTTCATTCCACCTCCCTACCTATTACCCACCTATGAGATCGGCTTGACTGAATGTAGGAGAAGTTCTTATGGCTCCAATAACCAGCACGCACATGGTAAAAGAAAGGGTCTCAACTTTAAGTAG